CAAACACACACACACACGCACACACGATACCAAATAAGACAGTAGAAATTAAACATTTTGTTTTTTTTAAGACTATTTTATTTATTATTTGTGAGGAGGGTATGCATGTGCCATGACATGCATGTGGTGGTCAGAGGACACCTTTGGTGAGTTGGTTCTGCTACTTGTTTTTGAGGCAGGGTCTCTTGTTTTTGTGCTGCTACTCCAGGCTAGCTGGTCAGTGAGCTTCAGGCTGACTCTTGTCTCTACATCCCATCTCACTATAGAAGTGCTGGGATTACAGATAAGTGTCAGTGTACCCAGCTTTTTATGTGGGTTCCAGGGATTGAACTCAGGTGGTCAGGTTTGTGTGGCAAGCACTTTTATTCACTGAGCCATAGCCTCAGCCCAAGTGTCTTATTTTAAAAAAATGTTTACTGTAGCTAGACGATTCCCAATTCTCAGGAGGCCTAGGCAGGAGGATCTCTGTGAGATCGAGGTCAGCCTGTACTATATAGCAAGTTCCACGCCACCCACAGGCTATAGGAAGACCCAGTCTCAAAACAACAGCAACAAAATGTTTAATGTATAAGACTTAGGACCGAGATTGCAAGAAACAAAAGTTTAAAAAAAGGTTGAAAGTAAAATGGTGGAACATCAGGCAAGTGTTAGTAATTAGAAAACTGTATGTTACCTTTTGTTGCTGTGGTGAAACACTTTGATCCAAAGTGACTTAATAGAGAGTTTATTTTGACTTAGGGTTCCAGAGGAAGAGTCCATAATGGTGGGGAAGGTGTGGTGGGTGGGGCAGGAAGCTGAGAGATCACATCTTAAACTGCAGACAGAAAGCAGGGAGAACAATCTGGAAGTGATACAAGACTGAAAACTGAAAGCCCACCCCCAGTGACACACTTCCTCTAGCATGACTACATTTCCTAAAGACTCCATAACCCCCCAAACAGTGCCACCAACTGGGGACTGAGTGATCCCATGGGGGTTATTTCTCAAAACCACCTCAAAAGCTAGTATGCCATTTTAAATAAGTTTTAACACAGGAAAATACATATTTAAATTTGTATGCAGCTAAGAACCTTATCCATAAGTAAAGCAAAAATTAGCAGCTCTATGAGGGAAAATTGAGAGGTTTCACCATTATATTAGAGAGTTATAGTATCTTGCTGGATATTTGATTTAAAAAAAAAAAAAAAGCAGATTTACTCCCAACTCCAAATTGGGACTCTAGAAAACTGAACAGTCCTTGATTTAAGCACCACCTATTGAAGTTTAGCAAACATGATCCAGTGAAATATATTTGATTCTTTCACCACAAAGACATCAACTAAATGACTGTCAAAATCATATGCTGGCCCATCACATAAGTCTCAGCCAGTGTTGGAGGTTTGTATACTTATGCCTTTATACTAGTTCAGTTAAAAAAAAGTTGATAACAAAATTTTGAAATTAAGAAAACATCTTATTAAATTGTAATTGAAAGAATACTAAATATGACGTGTGTGTGTGTGTGTGTGTGTGTGTGTGTGTGTGTGTGGACATACGTATACATAATTTAGTGGGGCACACAGTGCAGGTGTCATGGTCAGAGGACAGCTTTTAGGAGTTGGTTCTCTCCTATCATGTGGGTCCTGGGGTTCAAACTTAGGTCATCAGACTTAGTGGCAAGACCTCTCTCTGCCTGCTGAGCTGTCTGTACCAGCCACTTCTTTGGGAGGGGATGCCACGTCATCCCTCAAGTGTGCTTGTAGCAAACACAGATCAGAATGAACCCATGTATATCATTTCTGGTTAGGGTAATTTTTTAACATTTTTGGAAAGTACTTTGTCATTATAGTTGTAGGAAAGAATACTCTCTGTCTCAGTATTCTTTTTTTTAAAGTATTTTATTTATTTTTATTTTATGTGTATGGGTGTGAGTGCACCCATGTCATGCAATGCTGTGGAGGTCAGAAGAGGGCTTCAGATTCCCCTGGAACTGGAGTTAAGGATGGTTCGTAGCTGCCATGTGGGTGCTGGGAACCAAACCTGGGTCCTCTGCAAGAGCAGTCAGTGCTCTTAACCACTGAGCCATCTCTCCAGCCTCTGTCCCAGTAATTCTAATACTCGCATATTTTAGTTTTAAAACTAAACTTAAACTTTTCTTGGTTTTTACCAAGAAAAGTTCTTGGTACTTGTATTCTGGGTGATTTGAACAAGGCAATCAATAGCAGTACTACTTATTATAACTATAGGTGTCAACAGATTGATGTCCTTTAAGAGTATAAGAAATTGCTGCTACATGTTCTACTTAATTGTTGTAGTACTGAGGGTAGCTCAGTAGGAATGTTCTTATTACCTAGTATGTAAAAGGCCTTGGGTTTAGGTCCTAGCACCAGGAAAACAACAATAGCAAAAGAAATTGTATGTTCATAAAGGGAAATACTACTCTGTAAAACAGAATTACTACTGCAGTAATATTAATGAATTTTATTGGGGGGAAAACAGGTTCTGAATATGTTTTATGTAATTCGGTGGTGTATAATTAAAAAAAGAGAGTTAAATAATATTTAGGGATCCTAACATGGGGAAACTAGAATACTCTTTTTGTTTTAATATAGTCAGTTAAAAATGTGAGACAGTTAAGTAAATCAACAAATTTGAGCTGGGCATGGTAGTGCATACCTTTAACCCTAACATGCAGGAGGCAGAGGCAGGCAGATTTCTGAGTTTGAAGCCCACCTGGTCTACATAATGAGTTCAGGCCAGCCAGGCCTATATAGTGAGACCTAGTCTCAACAAAACAAACAAAAACAACAGCAACAAAAATTTGAGTGGTAAAATCAACCTCTATATTTATACTTGTTTGAGACAAGGTCTCATTCTAGCTGAGGCTGGTCTGAAACTCACTGTGTAGGCCAGGCTGGCCTCATATTTGTGGCAGTCCTTCTGCCTCAGCATCCTGAGGGCTGGGATTACAGGTGTGGGCCACCATGCCCTTCTCAGTTTTTTGTTCAGCTGGTTCCTTCATTTGAGTGAAAAGTGTAGCATAGTCCATCCAGTTCTCTAATTAGCATGCTCTGCTTTAAATGGTATTGGCTATTCTGTGGCTTAGTTTTCTTCCTCATTCAGTCTCTACAAAACATTCCTCTCAGTCCAGTGTTAATACCAACCTAGACAAAAGTGGTCTCCTCTGACTTGGGAAATGACTGATATTTCTTGTCCTAGACTGTCACTACACTACTATCACATGCAGATGTCAGATATGTAAGCCACCTTGAGAGATGTGTGAGCTGAATTGATGTGGTAGGGAGGGTAGTAGTTACTTTTCTATTGCTATGATAAAGTACCCTGACAAAAAGCAAGAGAGGGACGAAAGCAGTATGTTATGGCTTTCAGTTCCAGTGAGGGATACAGGCCATCATGATGGGAAAGGCACGCAGCAGGAGCAAGCAGGAGCGAGCAGGAGGCTGACCTGGGAGTCAGAAAGCTGTTTGTTCACATTTCATTCACATACAGGAGGCAGAGAGAGAGAGAAAAGGAAGTGCAGCCAGGCTATAAAACCTCAAAGCCTGCCCTCCTCTCTACTCATGTACCCCACCCTCATGATGTACTTCCAGAAAGGGCTCTACATTCTTTTTTTTTTTTTTTTTTTTCTTTTGAGACAAGGTCCTACTATGTAACCCTGGCTAGCCTGGAACTGGCTATGTAGACCAGGCTGCCCTCTTCATTTTTAAAAGATGGTCTCATGTAGCTTGGGCTGACCTCATACTCCCTGTGTAGCTTTGAACTTTTGATGTGCCTGCCTACCTCCCAAGTGCTGGGATTGCAGAGGTATGCCAGGACACCTAATTTATGTGGTGCTGGGGATCAAACCCAAACTTCGTGCAGTCGAGGCAAAAGCAGTACCAACTGAACTACATATCCAGCCCTTGTCTTTTGAGACAGGGTCCCATTTGTAGCTAGGCTCTCCTAGAATTCACTCTGTAGTTTATACTGGCCTTAGCCCACCAAGTGCTAGGGTTACAGGCATGAGCCCTCACGCCCAGCTCTAAGTCCTCTTAAGATACTGCTGTGGGCCAGGCGTGGTGGTGCACACCTTTAATCCCAGCACTCGGGAGGCAGAGGCAGGCGGATCTCTGTGAGTTCAAGGCCAGCCTGGTCTCCATAGTGAATCCAGGACAGCTGTGACTACAGGGAGACCCTGTCTCAAAAAGACCACACACACACACACACACAAAGATACTGCTGTGGTAGTTATTCAGAAAAGCTCCAGACAGGTATTCTAAAGTGACTGTACTGGGTATATTTACATGTTCTTCTAGTATTTTCCTTATGAGACTAAAGAAAATACTAGAGGCATTGAGGATTTGACCCCAACACAGATTTCTGTTTTGCTTAAGTCATCTAGTCCATTTATCTGCTTTTTTGGTAGCCTTGTTAGTAGTTTTAAATAGTGGTTTTCTAGTGGTTGGATCAGTTGCTTAGGTTAAACATGCTATACCCCCTCAAATTAGTGGGTTTTTTTTCAAACTACATCATACTCGTTGTCATATTCCCTTGGCATTAAGAGTTTATTTCAAGTGATACTTATTATTCATACTAGTTATATGTGCTTGTTGAATTGTTTTATGAGACGAGGTCTCTTCTTAATCCAGGTTGGCCTTGAACTTCCTGTATGGTCAAGGATAACCTTGAACTCCTTGATCCTCCTGCCTCCACCTCCCCAGTGCTGGGACTAAAGTGTGTACTACTATGGCTGGCTCTGACGTTCTTAAAAGAGTAAGAAAAGGAAATGTTACATCACCACCTAGTTTCCTTTTCTTCACACATTGGCTTTGTGAAGTAACTGCCACATATATTATTCATGTGCTGCTAGTGAATCTTTATAATTTAAGACAAACTAGATTTTCCAAATAAATAAAACTAAAAGTTCTTGATTTTTCTTGTAAAATATGTGTGGTTTTGTAGTGTTATTTTATGCTCCGAAAACACTGAAATTGTGCACAGCAGATTGGTCAGCTCACCCAAAACAGAAGGGTAATATGCTTAACATTGTAGCAAGTTTGAGGCACGTGTCAAACAATGGCATGAGCACCCAGTCCTGTGTTTATGAATTGAAAAACGATTTAGTAGAGGGCTTTGTTACAAACTTGTGATTCAGCAGAATATCATATTTGCCACCATCTGAGTTACTTTCTTTGAGGATATTTAGTCAGTAGATTTTGTCAGCAGATGGATTTTGAGTATCTGTTACATTAACACACCTCATTAATTCTGTTTTAAATAGCTTTGCTAAAGTGTAAGTTCCTTTTTATTTATTATGTATGCTCACGTGTGTATGTCATGGCGCATGTGGCGGAACAGAGGACAATTCTTGGGGAAGTCAGTTTTCTCCTGCCACCTTGTGGGATCTGGCAGGTTGCCAGGCCTGCATGCAAGTACCTCACCCCCTGAGTGAGCCACCTTGCCTGGTTTATATTTTTACTTCTTGTTAGTTTTGGAACTTCAGGCAACCTGTTTATTGCATTTCTTTTTTCATATTGATAACAATGAATTTGCTTTTCTGATTGTTAGCCTTTAGGCTGTTTCTTATTACTAAGGACTCATTTCCAAAACAAGCTGATTCCTTTTTTAATATTTATTTCTGTTTTTAAAAATTTATGTGCATATGTATCTGCCATGTCAGTGCAGGTGCCCATATGGTCCAGAAGCAGTTGTTAGATCCCCTGGAGCTGGAGTTAAGGTGATTGTGAGCTGCCTGATAAAGTGCTGGGAACCAAACTCAAGTTTTGTGGAAGGACAGTACATCATTTTAACCACTGAGCCATTTCTCTAGCCCCCAAGTAGATTAATTCCTAAAGGCAGGCAATGCAGCATTTGGTACAGAGAAGATATATACAATAGGTGTGCATAGGATGCACTTAATTTAGTTTGAGATAATTAGGATTTGAGTGCCTCTTTTTAAATTTTATTTGTGTGTGTATGTGATTGTGTGTGTGTGCGCGCGCGCGCGCGTGCATGCACGGGTGCACTAATGCTGCAGTGCACATGTGGAGATCCGAGAATAATTTCCAGGAGTCAGTTTTTCTTCTGTGGGTTCTGTGTGTTCCAGGGATCAAACTTCCAGTCAGGCCCACTCAGGAAGCACCTTTCCCAGGAACTGCCTTTCCCACCAAGCCACCATGCAGAGCCCTGGAGTGCCTCTTCTTACCTAGCATTTTTATAAGATTGACTATGAATACAAAAGTGAAAGACTTACTCTGAGGTAAAATTCAGTCAGAAAGAAAGCACTGGCATAGAACTGAGAAGTCGTAGTAGGTCACAGTAAAAGAAAGTAGAGAGGACACATTTTAAATATTTTTTTATGTGTATATTGCCTGTAGGTATGGAAGCGCACCTGTGTTGCACAATGCCCGAGGAGGTCAGAAGAGGGCGTCAGATCCCCTTGAACTGGAGTTATGGATAGTTGTTAGTTGCCATGTGGGTGCTGGGAATCAAACTCAGGTCTTCTGCAAGAGCAGCCAGTGCTCTTAACCACTGAGCCATCTCTTCAGCCCCTAGATGACACATTTAAAAGCCAATAGCAGAGCATCTGTAGTGTAGTAAAAACTCAGTAAATGTTAGCCACTCCTAATTGGTGCTTTCTAATTTTTATATGTAGTTGAAGACTATTGGAGGTTTAAGTTAAAAAGGCAAAAGTAGAACATTTTTCAGTCTAGAAAGCAAAAGAAGATCAGTGGACAAAGTTTCAGAGAAGGAAATTTCAGTTCCGTGTAAAGAAGTCTTAAAAAATAATCACAATTGTCCTCAAATCAAAGGCACTGCCAGGGGCACAGTAAAAGGTTTTCCTGCGGCTATCAGTGAGTCCCTTGTAAATGAAGTTCAGCCAGATTGTAACTGAATGGGGGCTTGAAAAAGGAGTTTATGTACTGTGTAGACTTGTACTAGACCTACCCAGATCTCCTTCCGGACATGATTTTTTTTTTTTTTTTTGACCCTTTCGGGGAAATAAGCCAAAGAATCCTTTGTTACATTTTTAAGTCTCTATGCATAGAGGAACTTTGATTGTAAAATGAACAATTTGTTCACTTACATAGGACAGCATGTCAGCTCTCAAATACATTGTGTGCATATATGTGCGAAGTTTTATGAATGTGGTTTTTGTAATTGAAATAGGAACCAAACTTTGTCTTTCCCTTTTTGTAATGTATTAGTGTTAAAAGTTACAGTTTTATGTGACAGGAAGATAAGATTTTAAATGAATAAAATTTGGGCTATTGTGTCTCCTGTAGCAGAGACATGCAGCCCAACACTGCCAATGGCAGCCTGAGGAATTTCCTTTTTCTCCTGACGGTCCTCTATTCAGGGAAAGCTGAATCTTTGTGTTGCAGAAAAGATTTTCAGAAAGAGCTAGGGTGAAACAAAGTGAGTTCATTAAATATTTAGACAGACAGGAAAAAAGAATTGCACACAATCCCAAAACATGACTATAGACTTCTCAAGAGAGTCACTCTTAGGTGTTTTTAGAGTGGCTGTTTATATGATCCCATGGCTGAAAGGATGTAATTTACAGCAAGGCTTAAAGATTAAGCAAAACTTTAAAGTTTAAATATTAAGTAGAAATGTATGAACTGATTTTCTTATTTTTCTTAAGCCGTTTTCTTAGTAAACAAAATTATAAAATGGTTTTATGAGGTACACTGTTTAGTTTTAGGAACAGACAGGAGTGCTAATATGGTGAAAGCCAAGATTACCAAAAGTTGGGGATATGGCTCAGTTGGTAGAGTGCTTGCCTAGCATACCGCAAAACCTGGGTTCATTCTCCAGCACTGAATAAACTAGGCATGATAGCACAAACCTGTGATCCCCGTACTCATAAGGTTAAGGCAGCAGGATCAGTAGTTCAAGGTCACCCTTGTCTACATAGGGAATTTGAGGCAAACCTGGGCTACACGAGACCATGCCTCCCCCTTAAAGGTTAGACACAAATATTCTGCCCCAAGTAAGCACAGCTCATTTGCTGTTTTTAACATCCTTGTTTGAGATGTCTTTAGGAAAACTGCCCATGATCTGTATGCAATTTTGACTTTATCTGTTGTAGTGAGTTTGACTCCTCGTTAGCAGGAAGGGCAAACTAGATCCCAGTGTGAGGGACTTTTTTCCCTTCTCATGTCCCCTTAAACTCACAGGTAATGTGTATACATTGTTGCTGTGGCATATTGTGATTAGAGTTTTGATTATGAGGTTTGACTGCCTGGGTGTTAATTCTGTTTTCTCTTATTAGCCGGGATGCTTAATCTCTCTGAGTCCTTTTCCCATCTATAAATAAGACTCATAGTACTGGTGTCTGCTTTATAGGGTTTAACTTATGGCTAACTGATGCTGTTGCTAATTGAGTGCTCTAAGGCTATATCCAGTAATAGCTACCAGAATTTAGATAGACCAGTTTTCATAATTCTTGAAGTAACTTGCCAACTATGTTCTATGCAAAATATAACTCTAGAGGAACTTCTCCCTGATTTGGTTACATAAGCTTAAGTAGATTGAATAGGACAGTAGAACAGTTTTTCACTGAGTTTAGAAATGAGATATCTTTATGTAGATTGAAAATGAATTTTAGCATATTCTATCTCCTCCTTCTGGGTGTTTATTTTCCACGAGGTTTTTAAAGTGTGTTTACAAAGCAAAACAAACATCATTTGAGGAAATAGAAATGAAAAAAGGCTAGTTTAGAAGCAGTTTTCCCCTTATTAATACAGTGGTAATTCATACCATCTAAAAGAGTGTCAGCCTTGAATGTAAGTACTTGAGGGGATGAAGTAGAGTACAGAGCATAAATATTAGAATTTATAAAAGAAATAACAAATATAGTGAATTTAAAAATAAATATGTTGAACTCAAAGAAATAGGAAGCAGAATGGTGGTTACCAGGTGCTGCCACAGGGGGAAGGTAGGAGGATAGAGAAAGGGGAGATATTAGTCAGAGGAATAAGTTCTAGGCATCTATTGTACAAGGTGTAGTTAATAAAAATGTATGTCTTGGGGGCTGGAGTGATGGCTCAGCAGTTAAGAACACTGACTGTTCTTGCAGAAGACCCCGGTTCGAATCCTAACACCCACATGGCAGCTAACAACTGTCCGTAACTCCAGGTCCAGGAGATCCGACAGCCTCTTCTGTCCTCCTTGGGCATTGCATGACATGGGTGCACTTACCTATATGCAGGCAATACACGCATACACATAAAATAAAAATAATACATAAAATATTTTTTTAAAATGTATGTCTCTGTATGATCATGCACCTCCAGGCCCCAATCTTAACCGAAAAACTATTGGCAGTTGATTACTGCTGGGTGAGGAAGAGCTGATCTTCTTAAAAAGGGAGGGATACTAGACTCAGAGGATGAACTTGTACTGAGAGATGTCTGGGGACACTAACTTGACTAGATAGGCCTTACCACAAATGACAGAATGCATGAATTCCAGTGGGGAGGGGGACACTATGGGAGGGTGCCATTGGGGAAGGGGGTGTAAAGATAATTAAGGTGGTCTGTATGAAATACACAAAAAGTGTATTTGGTGGCAAGCACTTCAATAAAAAATTTACATAAAAAGGTGTATGTCTCAAAACCTAGTAAAGTATTAGGGGTGTGTGTGTGTGTGTGTGTGTGTGTGTGTGTGTGTGTGTGTGTTTATTGGTTTGTTTTGAGGCAGGGTGTCACTACATCGTCCTGGATGACCTGGAACCTGGGATTATCCTTCTGCCCCTGCCTCTTGAATGCTGAGAGTACAGGCATGTACCACCATGTGCAGTTAATTAGCCCGTTTTAATCATTCCAACATATGTACTTGTATAAATATACACAATTATTCCTTGTCAATTAAAAATAATTTGAAAAGAAATGTTTTAGTATGATATGATATATTTAAAACTGATAGAAATTTGGATGTGGTGGCATATGTCTTTAGTCCCAGCCCTTGGGAGTCAGAGGCACATGGATCTCTGTGAGACTGAAGCCAACCTGGTCAAGTTCCAGGTAGCTGAGGCTAAGAGATCCTGTTTCAAAAAGCAAAATAACAAACAATAAAGCTATTGGAACTGGAGAGATGACTCGGCGATTAAGAGCATTGACTGCTCTTGCAGAGGGCTTGGGTTCAATTTCCAGCACCAACATGGTGGTTAACAACTATATTGACTCCAGTTCCAAAGGATCTGATGCGTCTTATGGCCTCCATGGGCATTTCACAACATGGGTGCACTTACATACATACATGCAAATGCAACACTTATACACAAAAACATAAAAATAAATTTAAATTTTTTTAAATTAATAGAATTGGTTTATTTTTATAGTAAATATTTTAGATTTGAAGAGAGTGGAATTCTTTATTGTTTCAAATTTGAGTATTTTAAGGATTGAGCCATGCCTATGACTATTATAGTAAAATATGGAGGCTTAGGAAAGATTATAAAGTCTTGAAATAGTTTGTTTATTGAAACTTTTTGATATTTGTTTTGTTGGTGGTGGGTGGGTTAGGGTGGTCAACATGTGTACCACTGCATGCTCTGGAGATCAGAGGACAAATTGTGGAAGTCCATTCTTCTTCCCTGTGGGTTTCAGGAATTGAACTCGGCTTGTCAGGCTTGGTGGCAAGCACATTTACTAACTAAACCCTCTCACCAGCTTCATTATTTTAATAATTACTACTGGTTATTGTAGACTAGGAACTTTACTAAGTATTTAAACTACATTATTTAATTTTGTTAATAATCACCCATACATATGATTCTGTAAAGTTATGCTTTATTTACAGTGGATTCAAATACTATGAAGTAATTGGTTCTTTGCATTATAACTGTCACAACTATAGTGTATTTAAATGTGTATTTGTTTGTTCAAAAATTGCATTAATTGTTTTTTTTTTTTTCTTTATTACAGTTCCGTAAGAGTAAATGGGTCCAGTGATTGGAATGACTCCAGATAAGAGAGCTGAAACACCAGGAGCGGAAAAGGTTGTAGGACTAAGTCAGATTTACAAAATGGGAAGCTTGCCCGAAGCCATTGATGCTGCTGGGCCAAAGGCCACTCTAGTGGGCAGTGACTTGGCAGATGACGATGAGCTTACAAACTTGAACTGGCTGCATGAAAGCACCAATCTTCTAACGAACTTCAGTCTTGGAAGTGAAGGTCTTCCAATGGTTAGTCCATTGTATGACATAGAGGGAGAGGAAGTGCCACCCTTTGGACCATCTTGCTACCAGAACCCAGAAAAAAAATCAGCAACTTCAAAGCCCCCATACTCCTTTAGTCTTCTCATTTATATGGCTATTGAACACTCTCCAAATAAATGTTTGCCTGTCAAGGAAATTTATAGCTGGATTCTGGATCGCTTCCCATACTTTGCTACTGCACCCACAGGCTGGAAGAATTCTGTTCGGCATAATCTGTCCCTGAACAAATGTTTCCAGAAAGTGGAAAGAAGTCACGGCAAGGTCGGTGTTTTATGAGCATTGCTGTATATGATGAGGGAGTTAATGTGGAATGCCTAGAACTAGGGATATCGGGGACAAAGCCAAGTCAGATTACTTCAGTTTGAGGTTATTAGTCTTCATTTGCTTTCAGTTGAGATGTTTTCAATTTTCTTAGTATTGATAGAAATGTACCAGAATTGTGTTCAGTTTACCTTTGGCACCCGAATTACTCTTAAGGCTCTGGTTTTTCTTCTTCTTCCTAGCACTAGGAATTGAAATTAGGGCCTTGTGCATGCTATGCAAGCACTCTGTCACTGAGCTATACCCCAGCCCACCTAAGTTTCTATTCTAGTTTCTTCAAATATATCAGTATATTTATATCATGTCCTATTTGTTTATTTTGATATTCTGCCTTATAATCAAAGTGTTGATCATTTACATTAAAGGATATGTTAGGACTTATTTTTTTAGCTTTGCTTTTAAAATGTACTTTAATAAAAGAACAGGTTTACTGTGGTTAAAGACGGTATAATAAAGGCAGTAGTATATTCTGTAGGCCACTTTGGGGAGCAGGCATATTCTGTTTAAGTGAGAAATATGAGAGGGCAGAGTTTGGAAAGACAGACTGAATATGAAGGCTAGTTCATGAATGTCGTGTAAGTTGCCTGGGCTTGAGTTTTGAGGTCAATAAAAGGGTATGAATAAGGTGTTCCTTTATTTCATTTGTGTTCTTGTGCAGTGTTGTCTTAAACAATGTCTGAATTCCTTGTCAGCGGTGAATTACAATTAGTACATGCAAAGGGATATAGTTTCAGTGAAGATGTAGGACTTGAATAGTTGATGATCACTACCCGCCTTAAGTCGAAGTCCATTGACTTGTTTTGACATTGTGTTATGGGATAAGATTAGCTTTAGAAATTCATCTTTTCCTTGATTTGCACATGTATAGTACTACTCATCATTCTTACTTACCTGGATTCCATCTTTTTCTTTTACCTTTCACTAAACTTCATTGCTCACTGTTGCCTTTTTGGTTGCTCACATCCATTCCCATCCCATGATTTCACATAGCATATGATGCTAGTGACTCCTAGGTCTCTCCTCAAAGGCCAGACCTAATTGTAGCTAATTATTTGGTCTAGAAGTTTGTTATATAAAATTGAACTTTATTCTTCTCTTTACTCCTAGGATTCTAAGCTTGGTATCAGTTGTTCATGATGCCTGGTTGTTTCGATATAAAATATGAAAGGAATTTAGACATTATTCTGATGAACTTCCTTATTTTAAAACCAGGAAAAAGATATCGATAAATTAATTGACCTTAGTCTGTAAAAGTCAAGATTAGAATCCAGAAAATAAAATGTTGAGCAGAAAAAAAATCCAGTAGTGCCAATAAATACGATTACCTTTTTATTATGCCTATTTCTTTCAGGCTCTACCATAACAGTGGCGTATTTTAGATCTTCCTCGTTTCTCATCAAACTGAACTATATAAATTGAGGAGTCAGCATGGAGGACTGGAATCAGATATTGCCAGATATATGACTTCATGAAGTTAGCTTGTATAGCCTCATTTCACTTCAGTATTGTGCATTTTTTCATTATTTTTAAATTTTTTCACCATTTCCCAAAATTTTACTAAAAATCATTTCACTGTTACTATAAAGTTTACTATTCACTATGTTATGTATGTGTGAGTGCCTGCTGGTATATGTGGCATGAGTGCAGGTGGCCCAAGGAGGCCAGAAGAGGGTAGCAGATCTGGAGCTGGAGTTACAGGTGATTGTGAGTGCTGGAACTGAACTCCGGTTTTCTGCCAGGACAGTTTATGCTCAATATTGAACTATCTTTCCAGCCCTTCTTTTCTTTTTAGAGATTGATTTTCTTTTTAATTATGTGTGTCTGTGTGTGGGTATGGAGGCCAGAAGAGGGCAGTGGATCCCCTGAAGCTAAATGTATAGGTGTTTGTGAGTTGTCTGGTATGGGAACCGGGAACCCACTTGGGATCCCAGCAGTTAAAATTCCATTTCCATGGAACCCTCTTCTCTCCTGGCCTTCATTGGCATTGCATGCACATGATACACTTATATACATGCAGGCAAAACACTCATACATGTGAAATAAAAATAATAAAATATTTTTTTAAAAAAGAAAAGCTTCTCTAACCAAAGCTGGCAGTAGTTCTGATCCATGATCATAAACAAATATTTAGAAGACAGTTTCATGGCACAATAGGTGAATTTAGCAAAATAGTAGTAGTTGCTTTCCCACTGGGATCTATCATCTCCCCAGCCACAGACCTTTTACCAGGTTTACTGTATCAGGCATGAATGTCCTCCTGGAGAGCAGGCAGGCCTTAAATCCAATCAGAAAGCAGTTGATTACCCACATAACAGTCATGATTCAGTTGTACATCATGATTCAGTTGTACCACTGGGCACATCTTGCCTGGTTGTTCAGTAGTATAGCATGGGTACACAGCTAGTAAGACTGTTGATAACTTTTCTCCTTCAACAGCCTACATAGCACCCAGCACCATAAAAGCCAACCTTCAGCTTGGTTTCTCTTACATCCTACAACTGAAGAGTGTAATGTCTTCAGCAGTAGGGTCTTACCTCTAGTTCTGGTGGGTGGTAACTCAGAGCAGTGGCAATATCCTGTGTTGTTTTGGGGGACCCCAGGAGCCTCTCAAACCAGCAGCTCACAGTGTGGTATCCCACCCACGTACTAGGGCCAGATGGTTTTATGGCTAAATTTTGCTTAGCAATGACAGAGCAAGGTTCTAATCTTCAGCTCTTTAAATTATTTAATGAGCTACCAAAACTTGACAGAGACTGATAGTGGAAGATCACAGATCAGTCTTATTCATGGGTATCAATGCAAAAATATTAGGAAGCAGAATCCAGTAATATAAGGTCGCATATATTACTCCTACACAGACTTATCCCAGGATGATAACTTTGGTTTAATAGTAGAAAATATATTGATGCACTCTGCCATTCAGATTAAAAGAGAAAAAAATTGTAAGACTATCTTTATGGTTGCAGAGAAGATAGTGTTAAAAACAATTACTGTTATTTTACCCTTGCTCTCAAAGGATAGTTTAATTATGAATGTGTGTTCCTATATTCGTTATTGCTTTTGAGAAATCGTCTGTTAGGATCCTTGACTTGCTCCTAGTAGTAATCTTTTATTTTTTAATACAATTTTTAAAATTTATTTTTGTTTTATGGGTATGTTTTGCCTGCATGTATAAAGGTGCATTGTGTGCATATACTACCCACAAAACCCAGAAAAGACTGTTGGAGCCCCTGGAACTGGAGTTATAGTCAGTCATTAGCCACCATGTGGGTGCTGGGAACTGAATCCAGGTTCTCCGCAAGAGCAGCCAGTGCTCTTAACTGCTGAGCCACCTCTCCAGCTCCAGATATAATATTTTTATTAGTTGAGAATTTTATAAAATGTATTTTGATCATATTCACCACCCCTACTGCTCCTCCTAACTCCTCCTAGATCCATGCCATCTTCCAACCTCCCCTTTTAAAAATAACTCACCAAGTCCAGTGTGTGCTTCCTATGTACTCCTGGGTAATTTGTCTTCTCTTTCTTTCAGTCATGTCTGGAAAATGTTAGTCATTATGTCTTTGAATATTGTCTTTGCCTTTCTTTCTCTTATTTGGATCTATGGTTAAGCTATATTAAACTTTTTCACTCCATTTTTTCTTGTTAATATTTTCCTACTTTTGTTTCTGGGCTGTAGTTCATATACATGTGTTGTTGTCTAGCAGACTCTTTTCTCAGTTACAAACCTAATATTTTGTCCCCCTGCTCACTAAGTCTGTAATTTCACTCATGGTTATTACGATCATCATTTAATCTTGGCTTTGCTGGGGATTGCACCCAGGGCCTTTTCATACTAGGCAGCTGGTCTACCATGGAGCTTTATCTCCATCCCCGTATTTTTTATTTCTGTTCTGTTTGGTTCTTTTCAAATTTACATGGCTTTTTGTGTGTATATGTTGAGGTGAGTATATGTGTTACCCACATGTGTGTGAGGGCCAGAAATCAATGTTGAATGTCTTCCTCAATCACTTCTTGCTTTTTTGAGACAAGGTATCTGACTAAATTTGAAGCTCACTGATTTTCAGACTGACTGGCTGAAAAACCCCAGGGATCTTCTGTCTCTGCCTCCTTAGTTCCAGGATTATAGGAACTTGCCAGCTTTTCTTTTTTCTGTGGGTGCTGGGGATCGGAGCTCAGGTTCTCTTGCTTACACAGTAAATACTTTACTAACTGAGCCATTTCCCTGGGTCCCTGAAATCTGCATGTCTTATCAGTGTCTTGTTTCTTGGTTATATTCAGATTATCTCTAATTTTAAACAATATTTCATAGCTGAATCGTTCAGGTGTATATCTGTTTCTTCTACTGGCTCTTCCTTTATCTCTTTTACTTCCTGTCTTGGGAGATTTCCCAATGGAAAACCAGATTCATCATGTTTTGGAATTCACTCTGAAGCCCAGGATGTTCTCTAACTTGTGGCAATCCTGTTGCCTCAGCCTCCTAAGTGCTAGGATTGTAGGCATGAGCCACCATGCCCAGTTTGCATGTTGATTTTGCATTCTGCTACTTTGCTGAAAGTGTTATTGAATAGAAAGGGGAAAAATACACACCCTTGTCTTGTTTCTGATTTTAGAGAAAATGCTTTCAGGTTTTCCCCCTTTAGTATAATGTTGGCTACAGGTTCATTGCATACATCCTTTATTATCTTGAAGTATGTTCCTTCTAATTTCTTCAGGGCACTTATCATGAAAGTGATGCTGAACTTTGTCAAAGGCCTTTTCTTCATTACTGAAATGATCGTGTACTTGCTGACATTATTTATTGACTTGTGTATGCTGAACCTTTCTTGCATCCCTGGAGTAGAACGAACCAACTTGGTCATGGTTTATGATCTTTGTGTCTGTGCTCATCAGAGAAATTGTTCTGTATGGTTTTGCTGCTGTTGTAATCTTATCTGGTT